CATCGGGCTCCCTGCTCCTTGGGAGCCTGCTTCTCTCTCTCTCTCTCTCTGTCTCTCATGAATAAATAAATAAAATCTTTAAAAAAAAAAAAAAAAAAAAGAATGTCAGCTTTGTTTTTCCAAGTGGGATTATTATTAGTGAAAAGAAATAATCTATCTGAGAAACTGTAAAGGAGAATTTATGTGCAATATATCTGTAATAGAATGAGCCTAAACTTGCTAATGATTAGAAGTAAAATGTAGTGTTTGTAGATATGTATTAGCTCTTTATGTTGTGGGGATGGAGTAAAGGGCCTTGAACATGAGCAAAGGTAATGGGGATCCACTTGTATATGTAAAATAAAGCAGTGTCCCTCCTTTGCTTACACCCATTCAGGGTCTCTCCACTACCCACAAAATTAAAGGCAAGATCCTTCAGCAGGCACAGAGGGCCTTTTGTGACTCAGGTCCTAAATACCTCTCCAGCTTCCTTCCCTACCAATCTCTATCCTTAATTTCGTTTCAGTAAGCTCAACAGGTGCATGTTGGGCCATTTCTTGCCTTTGCCGATGCTGTTTCCTCTTCCCAGAATGCCCTTCCACCCTCCACGCTTCTCCCCACATTTGTTCGGCTCTTACTCATCTCTTAAGATTCAGCTCAGGCATCCCCTCCTTTAAGAAACTTTCTCTGGGACATTCCTATCTACCCTCTTATCCCGGGATGAGGTAGATAACTTTTCTTCTCTCATAGCATTCTGTTGAACAACTGTCAGTGTACTTGCCACATAATATTTTAACTATCAGCTTCTATGTCTGTCACACATAAATGTCATTGAAGACAGAAATTATATATTCATTCATTCATTTTTTCATTCATTTCTCTAGTACCTGATGCCTAACAGATGCTCAATAAATGTTTAACAAATGAATGGACATACTAAGGAGTAAGCAGAGAAAGGAAATTGAGGAGATGTTAAAAAGGCAAGACAAATCAGAAAAGTAAGGAATCAACAAATCTAAGAGAAGATTTTAAGAAGCAACCAATGAGAACTTTTAAAAAGTCACTGGATTTGACAGTGGATGTTTGTGTGTTGAGGGGAAAGAGCCAGTGAAGATGAAGAAATAAATTAGGCAAGACAACAATGACTGACCAGACAAGAAAGGTCCTGGAGAGGGGGCGGGTTTGCATTATGGGAATCCCTGCTCCCTTCTTTGGTCATTGCTACTATACTCTCTGACAGAAACACCCTTTCTTTCCCCCTCCATTCCTTCTCTTTCTTCAAAGACCAGCTTTAATCCCTTGTACTTTCTGCATTGAAGGTCTCTCTGAATACCTCAGACTGCATTCACTTATTCCTTCTTAAATTAAAAAAAAAAAAAGTTTATCATGAAATCTAGCACATTGAAGTGTTTTTGAATTGTTTTGTCTGGTCTCTCAGCTAGATTATAAAGTTCCTTGAAGAACTTTGTCTCGTTTTTGTTTTTTTTTTATCTATCCCCCAATGTTTAACAGAGTATTGGGTACGTGTAGGCACTTAGCAAATACTTAAACTTACAAAAGGATCTTGCTACTAGAATGATTATACACATCCACTGGACAATAAAGGATCACACTAGTGGGGCGCCTGGGTGGCTCAGTCAGTTAAGTGCCCCACTCTTGATTTCAGCTCAGGTCACGATCTCAGGGTTGTGAGATCGAGCCCTGCGTAGGGCTCCATTCTCAGCGTGGAGCCTGGTTAAGATTCTCTCTCTCCCTCTGCCCCTCCTTGCCCCCCTAAGCTCACACACACACTTGTGTTCTCGCTCTAAAAAAAAAAAAAGATGACCCTAGTATGTATTTCTAAAAAGTGAAATAAGCCTATAGCTATATCTGTTCTAAATATATAAATACATTGTTTGGCCTGGAGAGTTTTCATTACCTCCTATCTCTGACCCCAGCCACACTAAACTAATGTCTTTTTACCTTCTGCCTTGCTTTCTGGTATCCTTAGATTAAGAAAACACAAAATTCTGCCTGAAGCAAATATTCACAAAGGCACATTTGTAAGAGTATATCATACGTGGTACTGTATATTATCTTGGCTGCCTAACGTCCACAAATCCCACTGGTTTCCTCTCGTGACTTATTTTGAACTCAGTTCAGGTTAGTGTTCATTTTCACAGTAAGTTCAATAAACTAGAATACCTCACTCAGTAGCCTAAAAGATTAGACCATAAATTAAAACTTTCAGAAATAATGTCAGCTACTCATTTTCAAGAGCTGATGACACTTAGATGAGCCACTCATCAACTTACTCCCTCCTGCTTTTAGTTGATCAAATTGACTGTTCAGTTTCTTACCTAGTACCCGAAGGGGGAAAAAAAAAAAAGGTTTGATTATTTTCCTAGAAGGCGAAGACAGAATCTAAGTGTTTGATACCTAGAACTATATCCTGAGGCAGCTTCAGCAATGTAAAACCTTCTGCTATCCAGTGACTATGGTGCTTGAGGGTCAGCCTATTGGAGATCATGGAAGACAGAGAACAGAAGGCTGTTAGTAGATAGTATTATCTTTCAGATGAGTACCTGAAACTAGACCTATTAGCTGTGGGGCCTCGTTTAAAAGTTGTAACAATATGTAGTTTTTGTTCATTGTTTATAGAAATATAGTATACAAATGGTAATACCTCCTTTATATAGCATTATACCTAACTATTCACATGAATTTGCCCTCCCCATTTTTATTAATTTTTAAAAATTAACCTTACCTCTTCTATGTTTTATTTCTTAAAAACAACATTTTGGGTTTTTCAGTGGGGAGGGGGGTTTGAATGCTTAATATGTGCCTGGGATTAAGCTAAACCCTTTACATATAATATCTCATTTAATCTTTACAGTGACCTTATAAAATGGGAACTCTTATTACCCCTATTTTATGGGTAATCATACTAAGGTTTAGAGACATCAAGACTTTGCTAAAGATATTACAGCTGGTAAATAGGAGATCCAGGCAAGCTAATTCCAGAGCTGAGCTCACACTATGGGATGCTACTTCCAAAGACCCCATTTTCTTAAATCAAATCTCCTGAGCACAATGTAACCAGTTCTTTATATTTAGGGTTGCCCCCTGACCATCAATGGGTATGGGGATACAGTTGTTCTTTCTCAGCCTTTGCTATCAATAGTGGGTCCCGCTGGCTAAGTGCACATCCAGCAGCTTGACCTTTCTACCTTACTACTTTTAATCTGCAATGATCTAAGAAATATGATGGCTATATTTGTTAAAACTGTTCATAAAATAAGTCAATAAACTCCAAATGAGTGTCTGAAAGCATCTCCAAAAGTACATGGACTCTGTCATAAATGGCTCAGAGACCTTTTTATTTTTCTTTATCAGATCTTTGCAGTGTTCCCAGGTGAGTGAGACTAACAGACACCAGGATAATTACTAAATTACTTATCAATATAAATTATCTGTATTATGAGGTGTTTATATGTTGGCATAATATTTACTCCCCAAGAACACTGAAAAAGACAGTACAGAGGCTGTAAAGAAAATGTGAGGAAGAAGGAAGTGTGAATCATTTATATGTGAATTTTATTAATTTATGTTAATTTTATTAACCTATGTTACCCTTCCTGTCACTACAGGCAGTGAGAGCTAAGAAGTAAATGCCTGCACCCATCTTTCAGAAGACATTGACCCAACAGAAAAAAGTTAACAAATCATTTAAATTTTCTTCCCCTACTTCCAGAAAAGAGAGCATTTCTTACCTTACTGAACTGTCCAACAACATGCTTCAGAATATTGGGAGGTGCATCATACAGAAATGGCTCAAGGGCTGGTAAATAGGTGCATTTTTGTAGGATATTCTTTATAGCTTTTTTACTCTATTGAAAGAGAAAGCAAAATATAGACCAAAGTAGTAATCAAAGCTTGACCAAAATTCATGCCTCATGTTCCTAGGATTTGAAAATGAAATGAATGTCCAGGTCTAACCTGCAGTTATTTCATTGTTGGAGATAGTTGTCAGAAAAACTTCTTATCTGGCATTGGTTTTATCATAGAATACCCTGCCAGTTGTCTTCATGTTAAATTTTAGAATGTACTGTGTATTACTGACGTCTTAAAATCACCCATGAGGAAAGTAAAATTAAAAAGCATAAAGCTATAGACTGTAAATTAATATGTATTATATTTTATTAGTATAAATTTTATAAACTGTGAGATAACCAACATGTCCTACTCCTTCCAGTCAACAAACAGAAAATAGTTTATAGTACAAAGTCATTATCAAACATTCTGTGTTCTCTAAAAGGTTTTGTGGCTTATAGTATATAGTCAGGAAGATTCTACTGTGTGCATTATTCAGTGAACATTTGCAGATACGCTGCTGTAGCTCGTGGGGAGAAACTGCCCCATTCACAGGTAAAGCAAAACAGAGAGGATCTACTTGACTGTATAGGAAAGCTCCCCTCAGCAACAGGGAGCCTATCACCCACAAGCAAAACAACAGACACCTTCCCCATTCTCCCCAGCACTCTGTACTTCACAGTGACACCGGGTGTGACCAAAGAAGGGTCCTGATGTGACTGTAGCGCGTCACTGCGGCCAGCTCTCAGGACACAGCTCGTTGTGACTCTGTTTCCTTGTCTTCAAGCCTGCCCTCTTCACTTTGGAAGGCTCCGCAGTTGGGTTTGTCTACAGCTGTTTTCCACTGGAATTCCACACTTGCTTGTATGTAGTTTTATGCGTCGGTGCATCCTTTCCTCTGATCTCTCAGATTCTTTGATTCTCTCTCAGGCCTTAGCCAACCTGGTCTAGTGCTTTTGAAATGTCAAGGAGCATTTTGATGTTTTGTTTTGTTTTTCCCAAGGAGCATTTTGATTTTCACATCATGAATTTTACAATTGCCAAATGGATTCAGGAAAAACTTTCATCACATTTATGCTATTAGTAAAGGCTCTGTTAATTTCATGGTTTTCCAGAGGCCCAGACTAAGCAGTCCTGTATGACCTCTCATCTCTTGACACATTTGTCCTCAAACATTGTTTCATAAACTAAATGAAACAAAATAAGGAATGTAAGAAATGCAGCCCAACTTTCTTCCACAATAGTATAACCTAAATTAGAATTAAACTCTCAAACCCCAACATACCTAGTTATATCTTTATGAGCCATCTTAGGATCATGGTGACCTTAGCAGGTCAGCAAATTTAACTTAACTGCTATTGGTGATAAGGTCTACTAATTATATAGCACAGATCACATCCACTGTGCCATGGTGATGTACTGTCAAGTTATTAATTAAGAACTCTAAAAAGGGTCTAATGATCCTACAAATTCACTGAGTTTTACTATCCTTTGTCAAGAAATACACTTGATTTATGACTACATGTACTTCTAGATAGGAATGTATGTCATGATTAATAATCAGCTATATTTCCCAACATGAAAGAAATATTAGTATATTAGTTAAGATTTTATTTACTTGTCAATTTCTGGGCTTAAGACTTTTTAACAACCTTATTGAGATATAATTTACATACCATAAAGTCACTCATTTTAAGTGCACAATTCAATGGATTTTTAGTAAATTTACAGAGTTATGCAACCATCACCACAACCTAATTCTAGAACATCTTCATCATTCCAACAAGGAACCTCATTCCATTTGTAGTCACTCCCCCACCAGCACTGGGCAACTGCCAACCTATTTTCTGTCTCTATAAATTTTACTTTTCTGGACAATTCATGTAGGTGGAATCATATAATATGTGAACTTTTGAGTCTGGCTTCTTTCACTAACTAAGTATAATGTTTTGGGGGTTCATCCATCTTATAGCATGTATCAGTGCTTCATTCCTTTCATTGTCAAATAGTATTATACAGATTTATCACATATTGTTTATCCATTCACCAGTTGATAGACATTTGGGTTGTTTCCACTTTGGGTAATTATGAATAATGCTGCTATGGAGATTCATATACAAGTCTTTGTGTAGACAAATGGTTTCTTTTTTTTTTTTAAGATTTTATTTATTTATTTGACAGAGAGAGACACAGAGAGAGAGGGAACACAAGCAGGGGGAGTGGGAGAGGGAGAAGCAGACTCCCCACTGAGCAGGGAGCCCGATGTGGGGCTCTATCCCAGGACCCTGGGATCATGACCTGAGCTGAAGGCAGCCGCTTAACGACTGAGCCACCCAGGCGCCTCTATTTTCATTTCTCTTGGGAAGATATCTCAGAGTGAAGCTGTTGGGTGATGATGGTAAATTTATGTTTACTATTTTGAGAAACTGCCAAACTGTTTTTCAACATGACTGCAACATTTTACATATCGACCAGTAATGTAAGAAGGTTCATGATTCTCCATATGATAATCAACACTTGTTATTATCTGTCTTATTAATTGTAGCCATTCTTGTGGTGTGATGTAGTAGTATCTCATTATGGTTTTGATTTGCATTTCTCTAGTGACTAATGATGTTGGACATTTTTTCATGTACTGATGGATCATTTATTGGTGAAATGCTTATTCAAATCTTTTACCCATTGTTTAATTGGGTTATTTGCCTTCATATTATTGAGTTGTAGGAGCTCTTTATATATTTTGAATATAAGCCTTTCTTTTTTTTTTTTTTAAAGATTTTATTTATTTATTCATGACAGACAGAGAGAGAGAGAGAGAGAG